AGGGAGAGGAGGTGGGGGGGCAGGAGAGAGGAGGTGGGGCAGGAGAGAGGAGGTGGGGGGGCAGGAGAGAGGAGGTGGGGGGGCAGGAGAGAGGAGGTGGGGGCAGGAGAGAGGAGGTGGGGCAGGAGAGAGGAGGTGGGGGGGCAGGAGAGAGGAGGTGGGGGCAGGGAGAGGAGGTGGGGGGGCAGGAGAGAGGAGGTGGGGGCAGGAGAGAGGAGGTGGGGGGGCAGGAGAGAGGAGGTGGGGGCAGGGAGAGGAGGTGGGGGCAGGAGAGAGGAGGTGGGGGCAGGAGAGAGGAGGTGGGGGCAGGGAGAGGAGGTGGGGGGGCAGGAGAGAGGAGGTGGGGGCAGGAGAGAGGAGGTGGGGTAGGAGAGAGGAGGTGGGGGGGCAGGAGAGAGGAGGTGGGGGGGCAGGAGAGAGGAGGTGGGGGCAGGGAGAGGAGGTGGGGGGGCAGGAGAGAGGAGGTGGGGGGGCAGGAGAGAGGAGGTGGGGGCAGGAGAGAGGAGGTGGGGGGACAGGAGGCAGAGGGGGAGGTGGAGGAGGTTGAGGGGAAGGGGGAGGAGGTCAAGGGGAAGGGGAGGAGGCAGAGGGGGAGGGAGGCAGGAGGAGAGGGGGAGAAAGGAGGGGAGAGGGGAAGGGGAGAGGAGGGAGGAGGGCGGAGGGGGAGGGGGCGTCCCAGCAGGCCGGGCGGCGGGCACCTGGACAGGAGGAGGTTGGGGCAGCCCCTGTCCTCCGAGGGCCGGGCGATGAGCAGGAGGTCGGGCAGCGGGGCGCCGGGCAGGGAGGCGGCCACGCCCATGGTCAGGTGGTTGCTGCTGTGGTGCACGTACACCGGGGCCCCTCGGCTGGTCACCTGGGGGCCGGGGCGGGGGCTGGGGCCGGTGCTCCCTGCGGCTCTCCCGGGCACCCCCAGCCCAGGGGCCCTGCCCCCCCAGACCAGCAGCCCCGGCCCCCCAACCCAGGGGCCCTGCCCCCCCAGACCAGCTGCCCCAGCCCCCCAGCCCAGGGGCCCTGCCCCACTCCCGGCCCTCCCAGCCCAGGGGTCCCGGTCCCCCAGCCCAGGGGCCCTGCCCCCCTCCCGGCCCTCCCAGCCCAGGGGTCCCGGCCCCCCAGCCCAGGGGCCCTGCCCCCCCAGACCAGCTGCCCCAGCCCCCCAGCCCAGGGGCCCTGGCCCCCCCCGCCGGCCCAGGGGGCTGGGACCTGGACAAAGTCACTCTCGAACATGGGCAGCGGGCGGAGGGGCAGGTAGTCGCCCTGCCGCAGGGTCCTCTGCAGCTGGCCCAGGACGGGGACCCACATCGGGGGGCCCGGCGGGGGCTCCACACGCCACAGGTTCCAGAGCCTGTTCATGGCGGCCGCAGAGGGCTGCCCCGGGCTGGGCCATGGCCCTCGGGCGCCCTGCCCGGCGGGGGAGGAGCCTTCTCTGGAGGCCCTTTGTGACCTCATCGGACCCTCAGAGGCCTCTTCCTGGACGTCTCCCCGGCCATGGCCACGGCCACGCCCCTCCGTCCCCTGAGGACGGGGAGCTGGTGCACCCGAGACCCTGCCCCACACGCCCCCTGGACACAAGACAGGAACCCCCCGGAGGGTCGGTCTGTGATGTTGCAAACAGATAGTTAAGCAAAGAGCTTCTTTAAAAAAAAAAAAAATTAAAAAAAAAATATATATATTTGTATTGATGTCAGAGAGGAAGGGAGAGGGAGAGGGAGAGAAACATCCATGATGAGGGAGAATCTTGGACCGGCTGCCTCCTGCACGCCCCCCACGGGGGATGGATTGCAATCCGGGGTGGGGGCCTGAGCCCTGATGAGGTGGGGGGAATAGAGCTGTGACCTCCTGGTTCATAGGCTGATGCCACACCGGCCACGGCCAACCAAGGGGTTTCTGGCTCGTAAGAGGGGAGTCTGTCCGGAATGCAGGCTCCCCGCTCACCACGGACCCTGCTCTGGACCGAGAGTGAGACCCAGCCGCCCACAGAGCCTCGGTCTCCCCGTGGGGAACGCACTGTGTCTGTGGTCACGGTTGTGGTCTGTGGACTTACTAGTGGCCCGGTGCGCGAAATCCGTGCGCATGGAAAGGGGATTGATTAGAGGAAATAATTTAACATTGCTATTTGCCCTTTCTCTGTAACAGAAGTGTCGGAGAGGAGTGAAAATTAGTAAAATGTATGTGAAAACCTCCCTCCTGTCAGAGTCCGGAGCTCACCATGGGACTGAGAATTGAGTTCCTGCCCACCCACATGCACCTCCAAATCCTGTGACTGACTCAGCTGGCCCCCCTGAATTGGGCTAGATCCAGACCCGGCCAGTCCCACCCTTGTCAAGCCCTGCTGGGCAGGGGGCAGAGCCTCAGGTCCCCTGCCCAGCCCTAGGATAGGGGGGCATGGGGGTCCCCCAGCCTAGACTGGGGCGGGGGGGCGTTCTTTGAGGTCCCCCGTCCAGCCCCGCTGAGTGGGGCCACGGTCTGAGGTCCCCTGTCAAATCCA